GGGGGTTTCTTGAAAGTAGAAGAAACCATTCTTTGTTTCGGCCCGTATTTGATATTAGAGTACTTAGAGAAGGACACTGACCAGAAATTTAATTTAGAAGAAGCGAAATACCAATTAAAACTTCTAGAAAGCTTAGGCATCCAACATAACGACATATTCCAAAGAAATGTAATTGTATCTCAGGGGAGATTCAATCTCATTGATTTCTCGGAAGCTTACTTGGATGAAATTGATATTCACAGAGACTTGGAAAACTTGGAGCGTGTTTGGAAGAGAAATTTGGAGGAGGTTTGGGAGAAGAACCTGGAACAATTTCGAGAACCTCGAACAGGTTTCGAAGCACATGAAGAAGGTCAGGAACAAAAAGAAACCGGACAGATCGAGGATATAAGCCTTTTAGAAGATCGTGAAGAGAAAGCTCGTAATGAAGACTTCTCAAACACCTAAATATATTGACATAAACCAAATGGAGTTGGTATAGGGTAAAATAAATATAGTCTCTATTTACTAGGATAACAACCCTCGCTCACATCTATCGAGTTTAGTCATTAGAACCAAGACAATCGAAATAAAATATTCATATCCAATATGGTGATCTTGGGAGGGAAATTGCTTTAACGGTGAACATGAATTTTCACTTTCAAAAACCGGCTGCGGTTGTTGCTCTGAACCGAGACCAAATTTTCAAAGTTTATGGAAGAATTATTCAAAATGAACTATCTAAATAGTATTGAATTTGTGTAAAACGAAAACCCAATAGTGTAGATAGACAATTAAATCACTTGGAGCCTCGCTTTAGAAAATGTCTAAATATGCGACACCAAACATGCGACATGTGAGATTTTGCAGCCAAACTTTATTTATATTTTCAATAAATTATATGTCATGAACTGATCGAATAAGGAAATTTTGAATTATGAGCTTAAATGATAGTATCACTACTTTCTTGTAGAGAGAGGGACGAAGAGATCGATCCGTTTTATTAATTCAGTATAAGATTTAATTAAGAGTAAAGAATGATGGTGAGGGACCATATATATGAGTTAGTTTGAACAAATTTCAATTTAATAAATATTTAATAGGCCATTATAGTGCTTAAATCGCACATCATGGTTTTATTCATTGAGATCATCATATATTTATCTCTCTTCTACCGCACTTTGTACAGTTGAACGAGAGTATATACGATAATGTGTCGAAAAATGATTATTTTGGAGATAAAATTTTGACCACGCTAATTCTTAAATCATAGAATGTTCATGCTGGAATAAAAATAATTTAAAATTTTTTACATTTATTTAATTTTTGTTGCATAGGTATTTTAATAGTTGGTGAGAAAAGATGAAAGTTGCAAAAAATAGAAGAAAAAGAATTTTAAAATATTGTGCGAATAATGTGGGACAGTCAGAAATACACCAGCAGTTAACAGAGAGGAATAAAAGGTAAATAGTCTTATTAATCTCTCTCTGTGGTGTTTTTTTTTTTTTTTTTAAAGTTCATCATGTATTAACTAAATAGTTACATACTTTAGGGATTCGCAACCCCGATAATTCAAGTGCGCGTTCTGTAGGAAAAAGTGTTCAGATTTTGCAGCCAATATTAGCCGCACTTCAGTCTATCCTAAGTTCGCATTAGACCTCGCATTGCACGTGCGGGGGGTAAGAAGCGACAAAGTCGATTAGCAAATTGGAAAAGATACTCATCTATCCAGTTGTTAGCACAAGGTTTGCCATTAACTTGCATTCTAACTTGGTATTCAAAGGCATCAACCGTTGTTTTGAGGTAAAGATTAAACTTAAAGTTAAGTTTATTCTCTGATAAATACATTTCATGCCACTGTGGACGTGGTCCAGCAATCAATCGTTGCCAGATCTGAAGTGATATTCTACATTCCAGGTATATGTGTTTGGGCAGATTATTATGTTCCGAGCAAAGATAACACCACGAGTCCGGTCCCCAACCCGTGTTGAGGTTCGGTCGTAGGGCTGGCCGGCCGGTTCTTTTGTTAATTAGGTCTGCCTCATGGAAATTCAAGTATCCCAAGTTGAACATTTTGATATAGTCCAACGGATGGGGGTAATATTTCTGGGTATTGTGGAAAGTCTTCCAGAATGACTGGACTTGATCTGGAGTCACAAAGTCTCTGAAGCTGGTGGAGGTCATGAGTTTTTTATTCAAATGCCTCTTTGTTTTCACTAACAGTTCGATCATCTTCTTGGATCTTTGATGGAAATGAGATTCTACAATCAGTTTTTCTTCATATTGAAGAGTGGTTGTAGGTTCAAACGTGTAGCTCAAGACTTCTTCAAGAGTAAGACTCTTCATGCTTATTCTATCAGGATTTCTTGAAGGCCTTGGATGAAGCTTAAACCAAGCTGTTATCCAGGCTACCTCACGTTGGTATGGTTTGTTTTCTATCAGTACCATATCCATCATAGTTGTAATAACCATGAGCGTGGATACGACTCGGGATCCACATCGGTATCTTCCTGGGATAATAAATTCCCACCATGGATATAATTCTGTGGGTCCTGAGGGATTCCAAGTATGATCAAACGTTTTGTTGACAGCTTCTTGGAGTTTGTATTTGAAGTAACGACTATGCTCTGCATCTGATTGGCAAGCCAACCACACTTGCTTAGCTCTACGGCCGTATAATTGTTCCTGTAGGTCGATCATACCCAAGCCACCATGGAGGGGGGGTAAGATTTGCCTGAGTCTTTCAAATCGTTCACCTTTAAACACGCCTAGAATATTATTAAAGGCTTTGATATCCTCGGCTTTCATGGGCTGATGGATATCGTAGTGGTAAAGTTTCGACACATAGTACGTCTTTATGGCTCGCACCATTAATGCGAGGGGAAAGTCGTCCAATTGGTGATGTCTTTTGAAATGTTGGATAGTTGCAAGTATTTTGGCCCAGCTATGGGATCTAGTATGCACCCCAAGATACTTGAAACCTTCAGTGATTGGTTTGAAAGTGTAGTTAAGTGGAGAGACTTCATCAGAATTCCCAAAGAATACTGACTTGGATGCTGACACTTTACTACCTGATATATGACAAAATGCTTCAAGTTCATCGTGGAGTACGTGATGATCAGCTATATGATTTAACCCTACAACTAAATCATCTGCGTATGCACCAACTTTAAATTGAAACATTCTGTTGGAACTTCTAATACCATCTAAATTACTAGCAAGACGAGCTAACAAAGGCTCCAAGGCTATATTAAATAGCAATGGAGATATAGGATTCCCTTGTCTTACCCCCGCATCCAAAGGAATAGGAGGTCCTCTCTCGTTATTAATATAGATATAACCTGTATGATTAGCAGTAAACTTCATGAGTAGTTTCACAAACAGAGGGTCGAAACCCGATGCATATAAAACTCTCTCCAAGTAATCGTGATTGAGTTTATCAAAGGCCTTTTCAAAGTCTACAACGGCAAACCCGGTGTAAACTGACCCATCCATATACTCAAGTGCATTAAGAACCTGGGTGATATTATCGTCTACTCTTCTCTTTGCTAAAAAGCCAGTTTGATGAGGGCCAATAAGTTCATCCAAGGCTGGAATAAGTCTTGTGGCAATCATTCGACAAATTAATCTGGTCGACGTATCAATCAAACTAATGGGTCTATAATCTTTTATGTTAACGGCAGTCGGAGTCTTTGGCAACAACTGCATGTATACCACCTTCATAGATCTAGGAAGGGGAGCACCTCCAAGGATAGCGTTTGCTACATTAAGTAACGGCTGACGTGACGATTCATATTGTTTATAAAACTCATGCGGGATCCCATCAGGTCCTGGGGTCGACTTGGTGGGAGCCAGACGAATAGCTTTCTCGAGTTCGTCCATAGTGAATGGCTGAATCAAAGCCTGCCTGGTTGAATCCAGAACAGTCTTGGTCAACAACATTCCTGAACGGCCTGTTGATCGATACAAGTCTTTGTAAAAGTCAGAAGCAAGGTCCAACATCGATGATGTAGTATTTGCTTCTATCGTTTGAGAAGCCTTTGTATGTTCAAGCGAGGAGAAAATCTTGGAAGGACCATGATCTTGCATTCTCTGCTTGAGTAACTGAGCCTTAGTCACCGCATCCTTGGGTTCTCCAAGATACTCATTGCACTTTCTGAGCGTACCCAGAAGAGCAATGCTAGCGTGTTCCACCGCCAAGATATAAATATCCCAGTAGTGAATGGCATTTGCGATGCTAAATGTCGGAGTAAAATACTTGGTGTATTGTTTCTGAATGAGCCTTTGGTGCATGATAAACCTACGTCTACCTATGTGGATATTTGTTAGCTCACAACTAATCCATTTGTGGGTGGACCCATTTATTGCTGTACCAATGGTTGCGTCTCTCACCTGGTTCTTTGAACTTTTGGAAATGTAAATTCTGTCTATCCGACGATGTAATTTATGACTTGCATTATGATTGGTGGTGGCTTGTTTATGTGGATGCAACCATCTAAAAGTATCCACGAAATTGAAGTTGTCAATGATCTGTTGGAGAGCAGTTACTGACGCACCATCTCTGGCCCTATCATCAGAACTGTCCAACATATCAGACATCACCATATTAAAGTCACCTCCAAGGATGTAAATTAAATCTGGGTCTACTGGCTCTTGGCTCAAAAGAAGAAGATGAATCCTTCTCTGAGCTTCATGCCTTTCCCCATAATAGCTGTGAATTATGTAGTTATCGACTTGAATAGTAGTAAGATATGGTCCAAATACTTCCCTGTGAGGAAGCATCCTGCCATGGATGGACGAATCAACTACTATGGCTGTCAAATTGTTACGAATTCTGTGTATGAACAATGTTTTGTTTATGGAAGTAAAGTATTCTTGTATCTCGTCTAGTTGATCTAGCGGTATTCTAGTTTCTTGTAATAACATCACCTTAGTATCAGACCCCCACAACTTGCTCATCAAAAGACGAACTCGTTGTAGGGGAAAGAAGTTTGTGACGTTGGCAGATATGATAGTTCCCTCTAACATTGAGAGAGATCATCTTCAGATGACATGGCAGTATCATCTATAGTGTCAGACGTATCATCTTGATCATCTGATTCAGAAGTGTCAGCATTCACTTCTGTTTCTTGGGTGTAGAAAGGATCGTCACCTTCCATGTCTGAACCCGATTCAATGGTAATAGGATTTATAATTTCTGCGAGATTTGCAACATTTGAATTCGTGATCGGAGTAATCTCAGATCCTTGAGTATTAACAGTTACAATTTCATTCACGACTCGCTGAGTGTCGGCCATACCTATCAGTTGTGAAGGTGTAGCAGGAATGACTGTTCTCGAAGTAATTGGAGTAAAGATGTGTCTAGTGGGGGTCGCGATTCTCTTTGGAGTGAGAATGGTGCGGCCGGGGGAATTTTCCGCGGAGGTCGCACGAGGACGTTTGTGCGGAGTCGCGGTGGCAGCAGTATACCCAGTACTTCCAGTGTTTGAACCTGATTCAACAACTGAAGCAACAACTGAAGCTGATTCAACAACTGAAGCTGATTCACTATCAGTAACTGATTCACCACCAGTAACTGATTCAACACTAGTAACTGATTCAACACTAGTAACTAATTCAACTGAGGCTGAACCAGTGGAAGCAGTTTTGGTAGTTGATCTAGTATTTGATTCTCTACTTCCTTTCTTTTTACCCTTGGACTTACCGACCTTCACAGCTCCAGTAATCCAGGCGTCCTCTCTATACTTGTTACGGCATTGCATATGATGATGGGATCTCATACCACAATGGAGGCATTCGGGTGCCTCAGTACATTGAGCCCTCTCGTGGCTCTTGCTGTAACAGTATTCACAATACTTCAAGTGTGGTGTGATTGGATACATGGTAATCCCATCAGTGTCCCCTTTGAATTGTTCATTCACTTTCCCATATTTTTCGGCATAGCTAAGTGCTTTAGGTGGGAGTTTGTCTCCTGGGTAGTTGGCATATAAAAGCCAGTAGCAAAATCCAGGATCTCCTCTGAACTCCTGGAGGTTATGTGTTGTCTCAATAGTTCCTTGTACGAACTTGAATAATTGATGTGCATACATATGGTACCCTGCTTCCTTGTGTTCGGGGACTTCTAAAAGGAATATCTCCATGGTACTAAGCATGGCATCTACAGGAATAAAGAACACTTCTGCCTCTTTAATCCTAACTGGTACTGAAAACACTTCGGTAATAGTTTTCTTCAACCCATCAACGTCTTCATATACTGGTCCAATTCCAAACGTAGCAAGTAAGGTTTTCTTTCGGTACGGTGTACGGGTGAGGTGATCTGTGTGGGTGTACGGGTGAGGTGATCTGTGTGGGTGTACGGGTGAGGTGATCTGTGT